CTGAAGGTCTTGTGACTTCACTGTCCTTCCTTGAGCTCTGCATTCCAGCCAAATGGGCCACTTGCTGTTCACAGAACATGGCAACCTAATTTTCTATCTCAAGTGCCTTGCCCAGATTGTCCCCCATGTCAGGAATATACTCCCTTCCCACCTTTGAATCGTAGAAATCTTTGCCTTCTTCAAGGTTCAGCTCAGATACTATCTCCTATAAAAAGACTTTGCGGTGTTCCCCCTAATTATTCATGCTTTCCTCCCTGTTCAAATTATATTTGCTTATCAGTTTACATATTGCATAGGTAAGCTTAGGAATATAAGTTTCTAGAGGTCAGTGATGATTTTTAAAAATTTTTGTCATTTTATTCCCAGTGCCTAGCAGAGTACTCTGCACCTAGTAGGCATTTAATGAATGTGAATGTAAATTAATTGAAACAACCTGTGTTTAGGCAGGGGTAGGGCTAGACAACCTCCTAGTCCCCTTCTCATCTGAGATTCTTTTGACTCCATGAACATCAGGTGCCAGTGTTGGGAAAGCAAGATTTAAAATGCTGTGACTAGATTGGAAATTCCAATCCTCCTCTAGATGTCACCACGTAAACTTTCTGTGAGTCTAATGTTTGTCTTATCATGTCTCCACAAATGAAATTCTGTCTTAAAAATCCCCAAATCCCAAAATTGTTCTAGAGATTCTTCCACATCATACCACCCCTGCTTGGCTGAAATCCTGAAGGATGGCAAAAATGGAAATTGTTCAATCTGGAAATCCCATCTGGATTGCGATTAAATCATTTGGACTCTGTTAAATGGTTTTGTGCCTTAATGCAATAAGGTTCTGTAAATATCACCCGCACCTCATGACCTCCTGCTTCTACCCTCCCCCACTCAAGCAACAGCTGAATCTAATGAGATTTTTTTTCCCCTCTCCATTGGTAAATTTTTTATGAATTGTTATGCTAAGTGAGTTTAGAGAGTAATGTGGCGCTGTGCACTAGCTAAGCTATCTAGACCCTATAAAATGGAATCACTTGGAGTACATGTTAAATGAGGCCACTCGCTAGTGCACAAACCTTGCTCCTCCATGGGCCCAAGTTCAAATACATCTTTACAAAGGAAAATAAATCTGGGAGTCTCCACATAGCAGTAGGTCTCCCTCATATCTTTCAAGTGAAATGTCCAGCAAGCCCTAATCCCTGATGGCCATGATTGGAGCCAGTGACTGCCTGGAGGACCAGAAGCAGTGAGCTCCAGCCTGCTGGCATCATGCCAGGACAGATAATTACATTCTGCTTATAACCCAATTCTCCTTGTACTTTCAATTATACCCATTAGTCTTCTCTTCCCCTTTAAAGGAAAAGTCTTTGGGGTACTGATATTGTATAAAGGATGCTGTTGTTGGTTCAGGTGACATTAAAGGAAATTTTATCTCTGGGTCTGCATTTTTTTCATGTCTTCTTTGGATTGATGAACAATGCTATAAAAGAAATCTGACATGATTGTGTCCTTTCCCTGACAAATGACACAGGTAACCTCCCAAGTACACATATCACAGAACATTAGAACTGGAAGGCACCTTAGAACATAAAATATTAGAGCTGGAGAGGACCTTGGAGTATAGCAATTTAGGACAAGTAGGATACTTATAACATAGACCATTAGAATGAGAAGGGACCTTAAAACAGAGAACAGGGGCAGCTATGTGGCGCAATGGATAGAGCTCCAGCCTTGGAGTCAGGAGGACCTGAGTTCAAATCTGGCCTCAGACATTTGACACTTAACTAGTTGTGTGACCCTGGGCAAGTCACTTAACCCTGATTGCCTCATCAAAAAGCAAAAACAAAAAAACAAAACAGAGAACATAGGATGTTCAATCTGGAGAGGTCTTAGAACACAGTATATTAGAGCAGAAAAGATAACCATAATGTAGAATGTCAGAATCAGAAGGGACTTCAGAACAGAGGACAGAGAATGTTACATCGGAGAGAGCCTTAGAACACAATGATAGAGCTTAAAGGAACTTAAAACACCAAAAGTGAGCAGGACCTGGGCCCTTCACACATAGAATGCTAAAGCACACCTAGAACAGAGTGTTAGCTTTGGAAGGGAATGTTAGCATCAGTTTTCATTTAGATTCAGGTAGATGGTACATTGGGTAGAGAGAGCACTAGAGCCAGGACTTAAACGCTAGCCCTCTGACCCTGAGCAAGGCCCTTAACCTCTGTTTGCCTCAGTTTCCTCTTCTGTAAAATAAGAATAATAATGGGTTGTTATGGGGATCAAATGAGATAATAATTATAAAGCATTTAGCACAGTGCCTGGCACATAGGAAGCCCTATATAAATGGTAGTTGTTGTTATTATTATTATTATCATAGGACATTGCCTTCATACAAATCAACCAGGCAATTAGAAATAATATCTCACATAATAGCACTTAACTGTTTACATTGGGTTTTCTTCACCATCACCCTGTAAGGTACATTGTGTTATCCTCCCTGTCTTAAAAATGAGGAAATGGAGGCCTACTCAGATTGAACAAGTTATCCAGAGCCAGGGTCTTAACTTAGGTCTTTCAAACCCAAGTTGACTTCACTTTCCACACCATCCTCATACTGCTTCTCAGTTGAATCCCTTTCCTGCCGATTACACAGATACTTTCCCAAATACACAGAACACAAGACTTCTAACCTGAAAGAGACAGTGTTCATCCAGGGTACCCCTCTCAACTGTGGGAGAAGGGAGGAAGGGTTCCAGACCACGATTTTATTAGTGTTGAGAACTCCCATTGAAGAAGCCCTTTCTTCCAGAATGGATGGGTAAATGTTCCATTTGTAGTTTTGGAGAGTAGTTGAGAAGTTAAATGGCTTACCCAGAGGCAAATAGCCACCACATGTACCAGAATCAAGACTAGATCCCAGTCATTCCTAGCTCTATGGCCACCATGGTGTCTTTCTGCCTCTTCTTTCACTCACAACCACCATCATTTTACAGCTGGGTTCCAGATAGGTTAGGCCACAGAGCTAGCAAGTGTTAGAGCCAGGATCTCAAGCCAGCGCTCCTACCACTCTCTGTTCCCTACAACACATGGCTTTCGTGAAAAGATCCCAGGCTTTGCTGCAAGCTCTGGAAACGATCTCTGTGACCATATGGGCAAACAGGAGTTATTAATGTTTTGTTCATTTGCTCCGTCTGGCCCAGCCATGTTTAATGCGTGACCTTATTAACACAACTCTATTCAGGAAAAAGTGCAAATTGCTTACTCAGAAAGCCTGGTAAATGTTCTCCTTTCTGCTGCCAGTGATCTAACTCTGAATATAATTGGTGTTGGGTCAAGCTTCATCATCTGAATTAGTGCCAGAAGAGTGCTTGGAGGCTACCTAGTATAACTATGAATGCAAACAGGGAGCAGGTGCAGCCCATTCCTCCTCTCCTGTTCTCATTATTTCACATCAATTAATGATTTGGAAGAGGCTTCAAACACTGTCCCTAATAGGGTCTTGACAGTTAATGTTGCCTTCATTTCTGTAGTCCCAGTTAAATTCCATAGTAGGGTTGTATAGCCAAACAAAATACACCTATGTATGTATGTAGGTCCATGACTGAGCTATGGCAAAACCAGGGAAATAATAATAATAATAATAATAATAATAATAATGACATAATACCAGTCTACATGGATAGAAGGATTATATTTGGAAGACCTGGGTTTAAATCTTGTCTCTGACAATAAGTAGGCATGCGATGCTCTAGGCTTATAAAATGGAGATGATACCAGGGTTGCTGAGAGTCAAGTAATAAAATGTAGATAAAGTGCCTTGTAAACCACTATATACATGTCAAGTATTATTATCCAAAAAAAAAAGTGTTTTCCTCATAGAAATGTGTGGTCAATTGTACAAATATCATTATTACCATTCTACAGATGAAGACAATGAGGTGCAGAGTAATTTAGCAGCTTGGGGTAACCAAGTCTGGAACACTAGTCTCCTGACTGGAAGTTCACGATTCTTTTCCATACATCATAGTCAAAATAACCCACTTCTCTTCGGTAGCTGACTAGTACCACGTGAGAACTTGAGATTCACGTGAATTAGTTGCCATAGCCAGTTACTTAGGTTTTTGTTTGTTTTTACATAGGATAAAAAATGCTAAAAACCACTTAGGTCTACTTCCTTGTCCTAGCTGGGAGAGTTCTCGGAGTGGAGGTTTCTAGGTTGATTTTGAATGTTTCTTATCCTCTTTCCTGGTTCCCTTTTTGGAAGAACAGTCACCACAACCAGAAATGTATATCCCAGATCTAAAAAACAGAGAGATATCATGGTATAATGGAAAGCATTTGGCCTCAGAATCAGGAGACCTGGGTGTGGGTCCCAGCTCTGCCACAAACCAGTTGTGCAACTTTGAACAACTTATTTCTTTCCTATGAGCTTCCTCTTCCTCAACTGTAAAATGGGGTGTGCGGGGAGATAATTATATTGGTGCTTGCATTCTACTGGGGGTGGAACAGGACCAACCCGGGGTGTGCAAACAAGTAAACAGACAAGGAGATGAAAGATCTCTTCAGGAATTAGAAAGCAAAAGCAACCAGGACAGGGATTCTTAACCTTGGACCCTCTTCCACAGTCTGGTGAAATCAAAGCAACACTTTTCAGAATGATTTCCTTAAAGGAACAGAATAGAATAACATAGGGTTACAAAGGTAATCAAAATAGTTGAAATGAAAAACAAAAACCCAAGGTCACAGATACCAGTTTAAATGCCCCTGAACCAGGGGGCTGTAGATAGGCTTCCTGTAAGAAGTGGCATGTAGAAAGGACTTTGAAAGATTTTCAGAGGCAGAGAGGAGGAGAGAACACATTCCAGGCCCAGGAGGAAGCCTGGCTGTAATGGATTGAAGGAGGCAGGTGGAATGGCAAGGAAAGTCTGAGAACAGCAAACATTATTTCTATCACCTGAAGGTTATGGATTCTTTTTAAACACCATCCCATTTTAATCTCTTTCCTTTAGCAGGTCAGCACAGAATTATTTCTGAGGATTGCTCCAGCTATGTAAGTCTACTCAATTCTCTACTTCCACCTTCTTTAAAAAAGTGTAATGGTTTTAGAAAATCCATGAGGTTTTTGAGATAGAGAAACATTTTCCTAGATGGAAATTGGTTTTCTCACAATAACCCTGGAAGATATCATTATCCCTATTACACATCTAAGAAAATTGAGGTCTATAGAAATTAATTTGCTCAAGGCCAAATAAGTGGTTTGATGCCTGGGCCTCCAACTATAAAACCAATCCTCCTTCCATTATACTGTGTGTGTGTGTGTGTGTGTGTGTGTGTGTGTGTGTGTGTGTGTGCACGCACCTCTTTTACCCTGAGTTTTCATTGATCCACAACTGGAAAGGACTTCAGAAGTCATCTAATCTAATCTCCAAGGTCACACACTTAGAAAGTCAGAGGCGGGATTTGACCTCAGGACCTCTGACTCTAGTGTTAACCCTCCTTACCCTATACAGATAGATAAACTACAAGTCGGTGGAGTGAATTAATTCACTTGTGAGGCCTTCTGACATTGAACCCAGTGCTTTTATTATGTTTCGAGCAGGTCACTAGTGTATTGTAGTAGTCGGTCCTTACTATGTCTGGAGTAATTACTGAGCCCCCTCATAAACCAAGGGTAGGCTTTCTGCCTAGGTAGCCATGGAAAATGGGTTAATGTTGGGAAACTGATGGGAACTCAAGGAACTCAGCAGGGGGTTGGAAGGGAGTGAATTTGAGAACATAGGAAGTCCTGAACACCAAAATATAATCCAAGAGTCCTCTCTGTCAAATTACCAATGCTCTATAATTAGTTTCAGTTGAGCCTTACAAAAATAAACTTTCTAAATTATAACCCATTAGTGTGGCCTTGGATCATTTGTCCTTTGTTGTAGGCTTGGAAACCGACCCTTGACTTTGGGCAGGCTCTGAGATCTATTTTTGCTTCCTGAGTTAATTCTGAAGCTATTGTCTTCATCAATGTTACGCCCTCTTTCATATTATTTATCTGGCTGCTCCCTCCTGCTTAGGACATGACCATTGCAAAAGCGGCTGATGGAGCAAAAGGCAGTGGAGGGGAAGACTATGAAGACCCCAAGACATTTCCTATGAGAGGATTTCAGTCGGTGAAAATCTTACCTGCCAGACCTATAGAGGAGTCACAATATGCAGGTAACTTTGGGCGTAGTTTGGAAATTGAAAATGCTGAAATAAGGAGTCAGAGGGTAATAACAATAATTGACAGTCTCATTGTGTCTGAATGGAACATTCTGGCTGCTTTTTCCATGAAGGCTTCCCTGATTTCCACAGCTGCAAATAAAAAATCTCTCCATTTTCGAGTTTTGCTAAAATACGTTGTCATAAGTTTTCCTTTGTCCCAATCATATTTTCCTTTGCATTGTCTTTATTTATGCACATGTCATCTCGCCCAGAGGTGATGACATGGCATAGTGGACAGGAAGCTGGCTTTGCAGATTCAAATTCTACCTCTGACCTATACCAGTTGTTTCTCTTGTTCAGTTTCAGTTGTGACCCCATTTGAGGTTTTCTTGGCAAAGATACTGGAGTGGTTTGCCATTTCCTTCTCCAGTTCATTTTACATATAAGAAAACTGAGGCAAACAGGGTTAAGTGACTTGCCCAGAGTCACACAGCAAGTGTGTCTGTCTGAGGCCAGAGTCGAAGTCAGATCTTCCTGACTTCCGGATCTGGCATTGTATCCACTGCACCACCTAGCTACCCCAACTTTTCGATGCTCTAGGAAATTCTCTAGGACTGTAAGATATAGAGAGGGTACTGACTTTCTCTGATCCATAATGGATATGAAGGAGGTTGAGTAAGTTTCTTATACCAATGAAATCACAGGTCTGGTGCCTAAACTTATTCATGATGATGATGATGATGATGATTAAAAACCCCTCTATAAGAATAACCTTTTGCTTGTTTGTTTCAAGGTCCCCAAGGACTAAAGCATGTACAAAATAAAGTCATCATACAAATTGTTAGTATCAAATAATGCATACAGGGTGTCCCAAAAGTCTTAGTGCAGTTTTAAAATTTAAGTTCCTTGAAACTTCACTAAGACTTTCAGGATCCCCTTGTATTAACAACAATATTTCTATATGATAAGTGGCATAGCATATCACCAGGAACATGTGGAATTATAAAAGGGGATGGGCCAGACACACAAGAGAAAGGGACATGGGATTTACTGAAGACATAAGCAAGGATTGTACAAGATGATAAGGTTAGGATGGATTGTGATCTTTACTGGCCTAGAGAATAGCCATGCCCCTAAGATCATGGACGTATTGAAGTATATGTAACCTGAATTTACAGAAATCAATTAAACTAAATTCTTCATTGCAACAATTTAAGAACAGTGTCTTCTAACTCAACTTGTAATGACTAGTTTAAAGTGATCACATCTCTTCACAGCCTTCAGAAGATTTTCCACTGAGTCTTTTTGGGACAGACTTTGATCAGCTCAGCAAACATTTAAGGGCCACAGTACTTTAAAGATCAGGGATTTTGTTTCATTCAAGTCAATGGACATGTGTTAAACCATCTATCATGGTCAAGACACTGTACCAGACCCCCAGGCCCTAGGAATTAGGTAAAGATAAAATCTGATGTAGTCCCTGTCTTGAGCTACTGAGAGTCTAGTATCAAAATGAGACATAGACACAGTTAACTAGAATATAAATTAAGGGGAGATTACAAAGGAGGGTTCCAACCAAAGGGCTATGAGAAATGTGAGGAAGGAGGGAGCAGCACTTGAACTGGAAGGTGAGGGATGACTTCACAGAAGAGGTCCACCTGAGGTGGACCTTAAACAAAGGGAAGGATTCCAAAAAGCAAAGATAGATTAGGCAAAAGTCCATTGCAATCATGGGACTAACAAAAGCACGAAGACAGGAAAAAATGGACGAGACAAAGAAGGAGGAAGAGGATAAGATAAGGCCCAAAAGGTAGGTTGATCCCAGATTGTAGATGGCCCTGAATATCAGACTGTTGGTGATGGGGAGCTATTGAAGGTGTTGGCACCTGGAAATTTTCCATCTCTAGCTATGAAGTCAGCTCAAGTCCTACTGCTTCTAGGCCACAAATCAATTCATTTCAACAAGCATTTATTAAGCACTATATGAAGATAAAAAATGACACAGCCCCTACTCTCGAGCTCCTTATAGTTTACTGTGGGGATATGGGAATGGGATTGAATCAGACCTGTGGTTTGATCACTGCAAAGAGATTCAGGTAAAGAACTCCCTTCACCACAAAAGAACTTTTTTTGCAACTTATAGTCTCAGAGAGTAGTTTGGGGAAACTGAGTTTAAGCAATTTGCCCAGGGTCAAGAAGCCCATGTGTCAGAGGCAGGATTTGAAACCAGGTCTTCATGTCCTGAAAGCCTGTGCCCTATCCATTACAGGAGGCAAGGTAGAATGTCATGGGGACAAAGAAGGGTCATCAACAAAGTGTTTCAGGAAAATTTGAGAAGGGGTAGATCATTTGACCTAGAGTGGGCTTCATGAACAAAACAGTACCTGAGCTAAGCCTTGAGGGAAAGAAATGATTGCAGTTAGCCAGACTTCCTCTTCAATTGGTTGCACTTGAGTCAGAGACAATGGAATGGGCTACCCATGGACAGACCAACCAACCAACCAAAGTGAACAGAGGGTTGAGGGTGTATCATTTAGAGGGGAGCCCTAGAGATCCCTTGAGCTTAGTTCCAGCTGTCACACTCTCTCTCAAGTGAAAAGACTCTGAGACAGGCTCAATTCCCAATTAGGGGTAGCCAAAGCCTCCCAGCAGCCCCAGGGGCATTTTCATTTCTCTGGGTTCATTTGTCTTCAGCCCAGAGTCAGCTAACACAATTGGCAGCAGAACTGTATGTGGGGTCTTCAAAATAAAAGTGGAGTTTGTCAAAAACCCAAAGAGTAGAACTGACCCCTTTTAAAATGGAATTCCCACTGCTTTCAAACAAAGCTATCTAGGCAAGGCTCAGAGATTTGCTAAGCATTGTTCTCAGAACTTATTTGCTAGATTTGGTTGGAAAATTCAAGACAGCACTTTTCTAGCTATTATGCCCCATTAAATCTTATTTTTCTGCTTACCAGTGGAAATTATTTTTGCTTCAATCGAGAAGACAATGTAAGCAGCCTCTGGTAATGATTTTAAAACTTTCTCTACTCTATACAATTTCTTGCAGAAAGCACCTCGAGTCTAAACAAATTCTTCCCCATCTGATCTCATAGCACTTTATACCTCTATTAGGATCTTGTGTTCGAATTTATATTCTATTTATCTGTGGAGGTGGCTCATCTCCCTCACCCAGAGGATCAGTTTCTTGAAGGTGGAGATTGTCTCATTTATCTTTTTTACATCTCGTCCCCACTCCCCTCAACAGTGCTCTGCACGTGGGATCATAGAATGTTAGATCTAAAAAGGCGAGGTTGCGCTGGAATTGAAATGCTGGTTCCCTGACTAAACCCAGCAGGTTTTCCATGACACCCAAATGTCTCTCTTGTGCTGCTGATTGAAACAATATGCCCACATATAGGCCAGATTTAGACAACACAGGTACACAGCACCTGTTGTGGTTACTGAGATAATGACCCTCTGAAAAATATCCACAAGGGGCTTGGAATTCTTTGAAGATGGGAATCGTGTAAATGATGCCTCTACCCACCTGCTCATTAATCTGTAGCCCCAGAGCCACTCTCTGATATCTGACACATTAACGGGCATCATGCCTTTCTCCTGAAGGGTTCTAATCATTTCAGAGAGATTAGATTTGTCAGCCACAAATTTCCCAAGGGAAGGATATGTACCAGTTTTAGTGTCTTTCATATTATAAGTAAGTAGACTGAGGCAGGGTCTGTGGCTCCTTCCAAATCATCCAGTTTATGTAAGGTCCTGGGATTTAGAGCGAGAAGGGATCTTACAGCTCACGGAGGAGTCAGTCAACAGTCAATAAGCATTTAGGAAAAACTTGGGTTGAATCAGGCATTGTACTAAGTCCTGGGGATACAAAGAAAAAGTGAAGGGGTCCTGCCTTTAAGGAGCTTACATTCTAATGAGGGAGATAAAATTCACATACACAGGTATATACACGAGTAACTTTAGAATGGAAGACTTTAACAGCTGCAGGGGACAGGAAAATCCTCTTGGAGAAGGTGATATTTGAGTCTTGAAGGAGTAAGGAGAGAGAGCATTCCAGGCATGAAGGACCTTCAGTGTAAAGACACAGAGACAGGAGGATTTCTTAATCTTCAGCCCTATCCTCTTACAGATAAGGAAACTGAGGCACAGAGAAATGAAGTGACTTAAACTAGCTACAGGCAGAACTAGGGCCAGAACCTCAATATCCCTACTCTCTACCCATAATATGGCTTCTCAGTTGACAAAGAACTTTTTACATACATTTGAATCTCATAATTGTTGTTGTTTTTCAGTCATGTGTGACTCTTCATGACCCCATTTGGGGTTTTCTTGGCTAAAATACTGGGTGGTTTAACATCTCCTTCTCCAGCTCATTTTACAAATAAAGAAACTGAGGCAAACACAATTAAGTGATTTGCCCAGGATCACACAAGTATCTGTCTGAGGCTGGATTCAAACTCAGGTCTTCCCCAACTCCAGGTTCTATCGACTGTACCACCTAGCTGCCCCTGAACCTATTAATGGAGTGAGATAAATAGCAAAAGTATGATATCCCCATATTAGGCAGCTAGGTAGCACAATGAAAGGAACACTGGGCCTATAGTCAGAAAGACTTGAATTCAAATCTGGCCTTAGATGTGTATGACCCTGGGCAAGTCATTTAAACCTCTGTCTGCCTTAGTTTCTTCAGTTCTAAAATGGGGATCATAATTAGCACCTACTTCACAGGGTTGTTTTGAGGATCAAGTGAGATAATATTTGTAAAGCACCTAGGACAGTGCCTGGCACATTTAGTAGGTGCTTAACAAATGCTTGTTCCTTTTCCCTTCCCTCCCGATTACATATGAGAAGGGGATATCAGCTTGTCATGTAGAGAGGGCCAGAGACGACAACTGGGCAGCCCATGTGTTCCACTGATATCCTGGGGATGTTAGGAGAAAGCAAAAAAGACCCCAATCAATTGGGTGGACCCCCAAGGCTATAGACAAGAGGCCCACAGAATGGGCTGGCATGGATGAGTTGTAACCTCCATCAAAGGAGGAAACTTGCAAATCAACGAACTCCTAGATCCATTTTTGCGTTTACAAATGATGCTAAGAACAGGTAATGCCTACCAAGGACCATGCCACATCTGCACTCGGGCTAGACGTTAGGTCTTCTGCCTCTGTTTTCATTGCTCAGTCATTTCAGTAGAGTCCAACTCTTCATGACCCTATTTGGGGTTTTCTTGGCAGAGATACTGCAGTGGTTTGCCATTTTGTTCTCCAGCTCATTTTACAGATGAGGAAACTGAGGTAAACAGGGTTAAGTGACTTGCCCAGGTCACACAGCTAGTGAGTGTCTCAGGCCAGATTTGAACTCAGAGAGATGAGTCTTCCAAACTCCAGGCCCAATACTCTATCCACTGCGCCACCTAGCTGCCCCTCTTCTGTCTCTGTATCTGGTGCTTTTTTGTCCACACAACCTCACTTCTCTGGGTGTGTCTGAAGCTATTTCACTGTCCCTGAACAAAAAACAAAATCTAAGTCTTATCCACTCTATCTCTGCAACATCTCCTACATTTGTCCTCTCCCATCTCAAGAAGTCATTACTTTAGATCAGACTCTTTTCCCTTCTCTCCTGGACTATTACACTAGCTTCCACCTCATGTGAGTCTTTACCTCCTGAAATTACTTTGTATTATTTCTCCATTTAAATTAGATAACCTCTGGTAGAATGAAAGCTTTTTCAGAACAAGTACTGGATTTTTTTCCCTTTATTTCCCCTACACTTATCACAGTGCCTTTTGCATCATAGTAGGCACTTAATAAATATTTCTTGAATAGAATCAATCCTTTTCCCCTTTGCTTAGAACACATGATGCCTATAGTTATCTTTTCTTCTATTGATTAGGATATTCACTACCCCACAGTGAGCAACACATTTTGGAATTCCCCACCAGAATGTCTCGCACAGCAGACCCCTAGGGTGGCACAGTGGATAGAGCACTGGCCCTGGAGTCAGCAGGATATGAGTTCAAATCTAGCCACAGACACATAACACTTGCTAGCTATGTGACTCTGGACAAGTCATTTAATCCCAATTGTCTCACCAAAAAGCAAACAAACAAACAACAACAAAAAAAAAAAAAAAAAACAAGAATGTCTCACACGAGATTCATAGAAAAGAGAAGGCTGTCCCTACCTAAAAGACATCTGGTCCCCAGATCAGCAGGGAAGTTGCTCTCTCTATTTCTGACTGCCACAGATCTCTACTCTAGACTGGTTTAAAAACCTTAACAAAGGGAGAAGAATATGTAATGTTTCTGTAAAGGAAAGACTCACTTATATTCTGATGTAATTCAAATGAAGCTGAACCATTGAACACCATAGGTCACTAGGCTTCAAACCAGCTAAACCTAATCTCTACATAAGCCAGTTTCAAAGAACTAACAGCATCCCAACCAAATAGTCCCCAACTACCAGAGCCCCACATGGCTTCTTATGATGCTATTAAAGAAGATATAGGTTATTTCCTCAACCAGATGAATTGTTGATCATCTTTAATCATAGACCCCAGAGCCAGAACCAGTGGTAGGCAAGGTGGGCAGTCAGAAAGGGTGTACCACATTGGGTCATGAGAGATACTTTTCCATCTACTTTTTGTTAAAGTATGTATTTTAATGCCCTCCATGTCACATTGTGTGCTACATTCATTTTGATATCAAGTTACATGTTACCATGAACGCTGAAAGCCTCAAGTAGATAGTAACATATGGTCATATATTTTCACTTGCAGAGTAATAATTTTCAAACCTCATGTTGCTCACAGAAAGGCTGTGAAAACAACCCCAGTGGAAGGGATCCACCGTGTCTGCCACTTTGTAAGAGTGAGCTGAAAGGTTAATCGTCAATATTATAGTGCTATGAAAAAAGTGCTGGATTTTGAGTCAGAAGACATGGGTTCAAATCCCAGCAGATAATCAATGTACAGGATCAAGGATAGAAAAAAATAGCATGAGAACACGGATTGCAAGTGGAAAACTGTGATGTACTTTAAAGCTTCCCAGTCTGCTTCCAGATACAAAAACTCATCTTTCTAATATCAGTGTTTTGCTGATGTGTTTATGAATCATGAAACATACCATCTCAAGTGTGAAAAATGTGCCTTATATGCTGAAAGCACTATGAAAGTGCAAACTATTAGGATGATGATGATAATAATAGCACCACAGAGAACTCCCCTAGAATGAACAATTGCTCCTTGCATTTTAGAAGGTGAACAAATTAAGAGGTTGAGTTTTTATTTTCTTGTCTCACAGATACACGCTGTTTCCAAGAAATGATGAATTCTCACATTTCAACAGACATTGAGACCAATGTTTCCATGCAGCCTTGGAACTTCCAGATGAGATCAGAAGTAAGTGAAAGTCATGTGATCGTTCTTAAATTTCTCATAAGGTGAAATTTAAGAAATCAACTGTATAAGCATAGGATGGGAGGAACTTCACTAAACCATAATTCATGTGAAAAAGGACCTGGGGGATTTAATAGAATGCGTTGGCAGGTTAATTTAGAAACCAAATAAGTTATTGCAAGCTTGGGAGGAATTAATAGAAACCCAATATACAGAAGATAGGGCAGATAGATAGATCAGATGGAATATTTATTAAGCACTTAATGTGTACCAGGCACTGCGCTAAGTACTGGATATACAAAGCAAATGAAAGAGTCCCTGACCTCAAGAAGCTTACATTTTAATGGGGCTAGATAAAGGCTTTATTAAGCACTTACTATATGCCAGGCACTGTGCTGAGTGCTGGGGATGAAAAGCAAGTGAGAAAGCCTCTGTCCTACAGAAGGGAAGGAACATATATATGTATATATATATATACACATATACACGCACACATATATATACACACATATATATTGATTAATATATATGTAACATTGATTAAATATATATGTAACAGGGAGCTGGAAGAGGAAAGGGTGGGGTGAGTGATTGTGTGGAGAATCATTCAACATCTGCAGCACCTTCCTTTCTGTCTTCTCACTGGTGGATAACCTTTATCCTTTAAAGGTGGATTGATTTTTATAACAAACCAAAAGCTTTTCAGAACCAAGTCCAGTGAACAAGGCAAGTGATGAAGCCATTTTTGACTCAAAGCAGGTGTAACCAAAGTATCTGTGTACCCTAGATAAGAATAAAAATAATATAAGAATATAAATAAAAAATAAATAATAATAAATGTATAAATAAATATAATATAATAAAAATAAATAATAATAAATATAATATGAATATAAAAGAATAAAAAATTGTGCCCTTCTTTCTTGCTACCCACTTTCCCCACAATACATGGGTCATATTACAAAACAAAATAATCTGCTGTGGAAAGCAGAATTTTCTCTTGTATTAACAACATATGCAAATATGCAAAGGATTCATGATTTTATCAGCAAGGGGAACACCTATCAACAGAGATCGCAGTCTGTCAATGATTTAGGAGAAAAATCTTATGAATTACTTGAGGTGAATTGAATGACCCATGATCAATTAAAAAGTTTTGATAAATAAGTATTTATTAAGTGTCTGCCAAACACTGTGCTAATATCTGGGGATACAGGTACAGCGAATAAAATTATCTCTACTTTTAAAGAGCTTGCATTCTAACAGACAAGACAATAAAAACTACATAAATGTATATAAAAGAAAAAAAGAATAAATATGAAGTAGTTGAGTACACGTTAGTATGAGAAGGAAGGCACTAGCAGTCGAGGGTATCAGGAAAGGCTTCATCCACAAAGTGGTCAATGTGATCACATAACTAGTAAAGGTTGGAGGTAGGCTATGAACCCAGGTCTCTATGACTCCAAGCCTAGCACTCTAAACACCATATTGCCTCAGATCAAATAGTACAGGCATTTATGCTGAACTCTCCTACCCCACCCCCCTGCCCAACACACACACACACACACACACACACACACATTTACTTCCCTTTCTAACTTTTGCTCTTGTTTAGGGAATAATAATCAAATCAATGCTGCCATGACTACTAGAAAGGAGCAATGTGACAATTGAGTGCCTATTGGAAATCCCTTCCCTGGTCCATATTTCTACTAGCATGTCCAATTAGAGTGTAAACTCCTTGAGGGCAGTGATTGTCTCACTTTTGTTTTTGTATCCCCACCTCCTCCTTTTTTTATGTTTTGTTACAAGAGATTACACTCTAGGAAGGAGAATAAAGAGGGATACATGGAAAATGTTAGTGAAGAAATACAAAGATAGAAATAGTTTAAATAACTTTATATAGATCAATGGAGCAAAGAGACTATGTATCAATTCATCAACAAGTATTTATTAAGCATTTATTTAATGCTTCAGAAATTTAATGCTGTGCATTGGGGCAGCTAGGTGGCACAGTGGACAGAATGCTGGGTCTGGAGTTAGGAAGACTCATGTTCATGAGTTCAGATCTGGCCTCAGACACTTACTAGATATGTGACCCTGGGCAAGTCTCTTAACTCTGTTTGCCTCAGTTTCCTCATCTGTAAAATGAACTGGAGAAGGAAATGGCAAACCATTCCAGTGTCTTTGCCAAGAAAAGCCCAAACTCACGAAGAGTCAGACACACCTGAAAACAATTGAACATCGTCATTGTGCACTGGGGACACAAATTCTCTCTCTCTCTCTCTCTCTCTCTCTCTCTCTCTCTCTCTCTCTCTCTCTGTCTGTCTCTCTGTCTCTCTGTCTCTCTCTCCGTCTCTCTCTCTCGTTACATTAGTACATTAAATACCCACCTCTATTACTGATCATACATGTCTCCATGATAAATTTTACACGTCTCCGTATGTTCAAATCAATATTTATATTAGCCTCTAGCCTATTCATTCTCATTATATACCTCTCTATTTTTCTGACACCCACAACCACAATTTTGATTTTTTTAGAGACTGTAGGGGCTCCATGATTCACAGATACAGAGCATCACTGGTAGAATCTTGATATTGAACATATGAATTATTGGATTCATGTATGATCCTCATTTTCAGTTCTATTTTTATACATTTATGTTTATACATTTTCTATATATGGAAATAATCACCTTATTTGTTATTTGTCAGGTTCAGATTTTTAAAAAAAAAAGGAAAGAAAATATGGGTTATTGTTTTAGAGAGCACCCTGGAGTCAATCAAAATGTTGCACCATTTTCCAAATGCTGTTCAGCTTATTCTCATCCTCCTGTTCAATTCTGTGCCAAATTCACTGTCCATTGATAGTTTCTGTCCAAGACATAAGTATTGTTGGATCAGCTTAGTGGGCTATCCTTCCAACCATATATCATGAAATAGATAACAAGATTTTTTTTTGTCCAACATTTTTTCCCGTGTGTGAATTGTTAGTCTGATTTCTTTTAAGTGGCTACGGATGTCATTTAGGATGCTCTATAGTATTCCAGGGCTTGTTATAATACAGACAATGTCATGAGTGATGTGATGGTAAATGTTTAACAACTGGATCTCCAAAAATGCATAGCACACTTTTAAGTTTAATCTGCATTATTAACGTTTTCTCTATCACTTTCTTAAGCCTAGATTTGTAACATTTATCTTCAAGGCACTTACATTCTAAGGAGACAACACGTGTAGTGGAGTGGTGTCCAGGAAAGGCAGCTTTGTCCTGGAGAGTCACAAGCAAGGAGAGTTGATCCTCAGGGCAAACAATAGACACACTTCCAAAAGCAGTGAAAGTATTGATTTGATTTCTTTACCCATAGCCAAAAGGAATAAAATGTGTGTGTGTGTGTGTGTGTGTGTGTGTGTGTGTGTGTGTGTAGTGTGTTTGAGGCATTAAATTGGCTTGAAATGAATTTGTATTATATTGATCAAAGGATCTTTGTCCTATGGTTTGCGAGGCAGGAATTCCTTTAGACCCTTTAAGTTGTAAAATTATCTCTAGAATGTGTGTGTGTATATAGAAATATATATATATATATGCATATTCTAGAGATAATTTTAGAGATAATACTAGAAATATATGTGTTTGTCTCAGTAATATCAACTCCATTTTTTTCAATTTTTATTATTTCTAGGTATCATTCGTCCTCTAAATTTTCAAGATCTTCATTACTACTCCTAAACTATTGACATAGCTTCCTAATTTTATTCTCTCCCTCCTTCCAATGTATCCTGCTTAATATTTCTTTCAGAATATTTTTATTTTAAAAATTTGTTAATGTTTTCCCATTTTTAAAATTTTGAACTTAAATTTAAGAAAAAAAAACCTTTCCATACACACAGCAGAGCACAAAAACAAGATTCTATTTAAAACCATAAATCTCCATTTTGTACCACTTACTTTTGATATCTAGATATATTTATATTTAACATATATGTAGGTATATACATATATATACACATATATATGTAATAAATTCTACTCATTAGCTTCAAAACTGTCCTGCTTGTTGGTTCTCCCTTCTAAACTGACCCCATCAATTTAGATTTTGGCATCACTGTTCAGCATCCTGTCAGATGTTTGGGTGCTAGAAAATTAACTAATACCCCTGCTGCCATAATGTTGGCAGTAGTTTAATATCATCTCAGAAGTAACTGAGTAGGGAAAGAGGACCTAAAAATAAACATCACAGTGAATCAGAATGGTACTCCCACTACTCTTGGATTGTTTGATTTCTAAATTTCACATGATATCCACTGACTATTAACAGTCATTTTAATTATCCTCACATACATAACTTTCAAGTTGGCAAAGTCCTTTACGTAGGTTATCTCATTTGAGACCTGCAACAACCTTCAGAGGTTGATAGTATAGGTAGGACTATCCCCATTTTGCAGATGAGGATGTGAAGATGCTAGAGGCTAAGTGGTCTTATAGCCATGGTCTTGCACTTGTGTAGTCTTGACATGTGCACCAGTATGTGTGAAAGGTAGAATTTCACCCCATGTCTTCCCAACTCCAAGTCCAGAATTCCATCCACTATACCATGACATTTCTCATAAATGAGCCTGATGCTTTCAGTGCCTAAGTCTCCTTTTCAATTTAACAAACATGTATTAAATGCCTTTGATGTGCCAGGCACAGGGGTTATAAAGACAAAAATAAGACAAAGTTTGCCCTAAAAAACCTTACATTTTCTTCCTCCATCATGGTAGGCAGCTTCAGAGGGTTTTGAATGATGAACTGTTAGGGCCACTTGGATATCCCAGCAAGCATTGGGCCTTACACACTTGCCTAACCTCTGTACTTTCAATACATCAAAAGGTTTGACTTGAGGATCTACCATTTACTACTGCTTCTCTGATTTTTGACAAATTATTTCATTTCTCTGGGCCTCAGTTTCTTTATCTGTACAATTAAATTAGTGAACTAGATAGTTTCTAAGATTCCTTCCACCTCTAAATCTTTGATCCCTGATTCCATAAATGTAAACACTCCCTCCACTGATAGAGATACTTCCATCACTTCATAAATGGCTTTTATTATTTGCTGTGGCCAAAAAAAAATCATCATCTGGTTGCCAATCGTCTGGAGATGAACTCTGTACTTAACTAAATTGATAAAATGGTACATGAAAAGCAGATCATCTGTCACTAGAGTAATACATGAAGCTTAGCAAGAGATGCCAGCTTTATTCTGGGTTAGCCTTTGAAATACCAGGGTCACCCTATACCATAAGGTACCATTGGAGGAAGGGAAGACCACCTTAGCTTGCCATGATCGATATATGAAGTTAACAGCTTGACTTTGGACTGGAGCTTTAAACAGTGTGCTCTCATTAGCAACACAATCACAGTCACCATAATCATTATGACCATCCTTCTCGTTACCATTGCCACTGCCACCGCCACTACAGGTGTTCACCAAACACCTACTCTGAGTTAGGATTATTTTCCAGAGGCCTAATGCCTAAATTAATGTATTATGTTAACTGCATTTATTCTTCATTTTCTTAAGAATAGAAGGTTTGGTGTCTTTACGATGTTTTCCTTCATAGAATATAAGCTCGTGAAGGGCAAAGGCTATCTCTGTTTTGTCTCTATATGCCCCTTACCTAGCCTGGTGCCTGGTGCGCAGTACCAGATAAGTACCTATCTATTGACTATTTGATTTCTATTCTTAACTCTGTAGTCTAGATCACTATTAATTGTTCTATGTTGTGTTTTACAGGAGGGAATGCAGATTTTAGCGGATATCAGAGATTTAAATCTTAAAGGTAAGTATGCATGTGGGAAATATGGAAATGAAATATGACTATATGGTGCCTATATTGTTCACGAGTTTTTATGTGTGTAAAAATCATGGCTAGCCACTACTAAGTGTAAGAGAAAGTCAGAGAGGGAGAAAGGGAGGGAAGGAGAGGCAAAAAGAGAGATAGAGAGAGAGAAGGACAGACATAGACAGAGAAGGAGAGATAGAGAGAGGAAGGGGGAAGGGTACGGAGGAGAGAGAGAGAAGAGGGAGGAAGGGAGGGAGGGGTGGAGCCAAGGAGAGAGGAACAGAAGGAGAAAGATGGAGAAAGGAAAGATGGAGAGTGAGAGAGAGAAAGAGAGAGAGAGAGAGAGAGAGAGAGAGAGAGAGAGAGAGATTGAGAACGGCAATATATAGAGAGAAGGAAAGATGAAAAAGAGAATAAAACGAGAAGTTGAGAAAGAGAAAAAAGAATGGAGAAGAAAATTAAAGAGAAAACAAGAGAAAAAAAAGAGGAAGAAGTTGAAGGGGGAGAGGAAAGAAGGAGACATCAATCCCTCTGAACCAGGTAGAAAGGTAAAGGAGGAAGAAAAGAGGGGAAAAAAATGGGAAAAGAGGAACTCTTTGCCACTGTCTCCCTTGGTTCTCATAATGGATCACCACATTCCCTCTCTCCCTACCAACAACTATCTCCTGTTATACCACTTTGTACCATGGGACATTGTTTCTGAAGGTAATGTTTTTGTTCCCATCTCTTGTAGAAATACTAGAGTTGGGGGGGGGGGGAGGTGTCCACTTTATCAATTACCTTGTAACAACTTTATCCAAAGAAATGTGCCTGCACAATCTCTCTAAAGCTCCTCTGTGTCCCATAAGCCCTAGGATAGAAAGCATCCCATAAAAATATCATAAAAGTAACTAGTAAACATCTAGTGCTTTAAGGTTTAACAACAAGCATTTATTAGACATTTTTTTTGTATACCAGGTACTGTACAAAGCATTGGAAATACAAAGAAAAACAAAATCGAGCCGTCTTCACAGAACTCACATTCTGATGGGAGTTGGAGGTGACAAAATGCAAACAGTCATGTTCATACAAGATATATGCAGGATAAATTTGAGGTGAACCCAAGAGTAGGGGCTCACCTTGAGGGGAAGCAGGAAATGCCTATTGCTGAAGGTAGAATCTGAGTTGTCTTAAAGGAAGCCTGGGAAACAAGGTAGAAAAGATGAAGAGAGAAAGCCCTCCATGTCCAGGAGAAAAGCCAGGAAAAAAAGACACAGGCTCAGGAACTGGTGTCATCTTCAAAGAACAGCAATAAGGCAGGTGTCATGGGATCATAGAGCACATACAGGGGAGTAAAGTGTAAAAAGACCACAGAGCTGGGGAGGGGCCAGGTTAGAAGAGCTTTAAAAGCCAAACAAAGTATTTTATATTTGATCCTGGAGATAATAGGGAGCAATTGCTTGGAGTTTATTGCTTGGAGGGGTAGGGTGGGTGGGGTGAGACAGGCAGCAAAATAACAAGGTCAGACTTGGCTTTAGGAAGATCATTTTGGTAGCTGGAGGATGGACTGGAGTGGGAAGGCACTTTAGGGAGAGAGATCAACCAAAATGCTATTGAAAGAATCCAGGTGTGACATGATAGGGGTGAGGTCATATATCTAAGAGACGTTATAAAGTAGAAACAGCAAGACTTAGCAACACATCGGATATGAGCAGTTACTGGGAGTGAGGAAATGAGAACGCTACCTAGATTGTGAGCTTTGGTGACTGGAACGATGGTGGTGCCCTTGCCAGCAATAGAGAAGTTTAGGAGAAGAAAGGTTTTGGAATGAGATATAATGAGTCCAGTCTTGGATAGATTGAGTTTAAGAGTTCTTTGGGATATGAACTTTGACATATCCAATACGCATTTGAAGATATGAGATCAGTGGTCAGGAGGGAGGTTAAGGCTGGTTAAATAGATCTGAAAATCATCTACAGAGTCAATAAGTGAATCCATGAAAGCTGATGAGATCACCAATTGAGATAATATACAGGGAAAAAAGAGGGCCTAGAACAGAGCACTGGGGGAAACCCACAGTGGAGGATACCTTGGAGTTCATTTATTCTAAACTCTTCATTTTGCTGAAGAGCAAACTGAAGCCCAGAGAAGTGACTTACCCAAAGTAACACAGACAGTATATGGTAGAGTGACCCTTTAAACCCAGACCCTCTGGTTCCGTATCCAGTGTATTTTCACCCATAGCACATTGCCTCCTATTCATTCTCAAAAACAAATATTTGAAGTACATAATGCAAGCATGATGACCCTCATTTTACAAATGAATGAACTGAAGTTAAGAGAGGCCAAATGAATTGACCAAAGTCACATGTCTAGTAAGTGCTAGAGTCGGGATTCAATTCAATACTGTCCCAAAGCTACATCTCTTCTATACAGGCAATTTCTCAATTTCCAAGTAAGATCCAGGAATAGAAAGGTGATATCAAAAAGATGAGGCAGGAGGGAGATGAAAATTAATCAAAATACTCCCCATTTATGGGACCACACACAATGCCTGGAAAATGCTAAGATGATTTATACGCTCATTACAAAATACCATATTTTTGATGCAAATACATTCTCAGATAATTTATTCATCCTCACCAAATGTCATGGGAAAAGAAAACATATTGGTGGATTTCACTAATGGCAGACTTTTGCAGTGATATTTATCATCAAGTTGAGCACTTAGGTTTATGTTAATGTCTTTTTCATGCTACTTTTTCATTATCGTATTTTGACATTATCTAGGATGTATCAACTTTTAGAATTTCTTGTGTCTTCAGTTGTAAGGCACTGTACAAAAAACAGCTTTGTGCATATTTTATGGAATAAAAAATTCACCTTCATGCAGTTTCCATTCTGGAGCATTTGCTGATTGGCTAAGATTAATCTCTAGGATAAAAACAGACAACTTAATTTTCAGAAAGGGATATCACTAGTGCTCAACGACCCAGGCCCGATACAATAGGTGCTGGCACTGATGGAAAAAAACAAGGCTAAATGGTATTTCTTTTCTAGGCCTGGGTGTTAACAAAAACATAAAACTAAAACCAATTTCCTTTGCAAAGACAAGAATGCCTGGCACAAGAATGAATTTGTGAAAGGGGAAAAACGCACTGACCCATCAAAGAAAACACAGTGATGAAGTTATGTACAGGTGACTTGGCATAGAAAAACTAAGAGAGGATCTTAAGACAAAAAACAGCCATATATTTGTTTCCATAATGAAGATTTGGCATAGAATTATAGGATTCCAAAGCCAAAGGGACCTTGGAACATGGAGCATTAAGCACGGGAGAAATCTTAGAACATCAGGGATAGGAGGGACCATAGAACATAGAGTATTTAACATGATGGCAGTCAGGGAATGTTAAAGGACCCCAGAACATAGGCTATCAGAGTTATAAGGGACCTTACAACTGTTGGGGGTTGGTGCCAGTGGAACTTTGTCCTTGAGGACACAAAGGAGAGGGTTAAGGATTGGACTTGTGATTTCAGTGGTATAGGCAGAGCTCCCAAATGAGGAAAGTACTTCTGTAACTGACCATCTTAGAGTTGTCCAGAATGCCAAGAGGTTTAGTGGCTTGCTCAGGGTCACATGGCCAACAAAATTCGTGGCTAGTCAAACTCAGGTCTTCCTAGATTCAATGCCATCCTTATGTCTACTACATCTCACTGTGCTTAATAAAGGCTTATTGTTCAATTAATAGCTAGAGAAGGCTGGGGTAATGCTCACAGACTCATTTTAGGACTACAAATACATGCCAACAGAAGAAACCTTCAAGATTATCTAATTCATTCTCTCATCTTTCAAATGAAAAAACTGGAAAAAGAGAGAAAGGAAAGGACTTACCCAAGGTCACGTAATTAATTAGTAGAAAAACCAGGACTGGAATCTAGAACTTTTGACTCTCAGTCCTGTTCTCTTTTGGCCACCCCACAGTACTTCTACTTATTGAGAGTTTTGTTCAAAATTTCACTGAACGTCTAAAAATAATAACCCGCAAAAGAAAATGCGTATCACATAGTATAAGAGCTAGCAGTTACACAGCTCTCTCTGTAGTCATATAAGCTCTCTTGGAAAATGTCAGGTACTTGGCAGATACTGATCTCCTTTTATCCTCATATGCCTAGAAACCAGGGACTATTATCATTCCCATTTTATAAATGAGGAAACTGAGGCATAGAATGGATGAGTGATTAGCCCAGGGTCATATGACAAGTATCTGAAGCTGGATTTAAAATCAGGTCTGCTTCACTCCAAGGCCACCCCAGGCTGACTCAAAAGCTGCTTATATACTACTTCTGGGCTGAGTGGGTACTTTCTCCAATATTAACATGTTATTAATTCAATGAAAAAAATATATAGGTTGAGTTCTAAGCCATCTCTCTCCTCATATAAGTGCATTAAGTACCTACTGTGTTTGTAGGGCTGGACTAGGCATGGAAAGAGACGCAAACTTTTGATTGGAAATAATCTCTATCTCGAGGGAAAAGAGGAGGAGTGGGAGGGGCAGAAAATTTAAAACTCAAAATCTTATGGAAGTGAATGTTGAAAACTAAAAATCAATTAATTTAAAAAAAGAAAAAAAGAAAAAAATAGTCCCTATCTTAGCTTAAGAGTCTAGTAGGTAGGTAAGCTAGGTCAGGGTATCAGTAAAACAGGCAAAGGGCCCAGCAAGCCTTTGACACTACACCATGTACCGTACAACAAGGGGAATTTCATACACACACACACACACACACACACACCCCAAAGTAAAACTAAGGAATTCAGAAGGAATGCAGATACCAATAACCTCATGCTATCAGGCCCTGGGACACTTAAAAATCTCAATGACCAAACTATTTTACCAGACCTCAAAAGCAAAAACTTTATGTCAGCAGATTTAAAGTCCTTGGATGGAGGGCAAGAAAGGAAAGAAAGAAACGAAAGAAAAACAGCCTCTACCCTCTACCCTCTACCCTCTTTCCTA